AATATAAAAAATGTACTTACAGTCTGTGAGTCAGAACAGCCGGCATTGTAGTCTACTCTCCCAGGATCAGGAAACAGTCCTCCATAAAATGTGCTGCACACATCTGAATATTTGGGTTGAACTGTTCTGGAACAGTGTTGTAAATACAACTTAACCACTGATTTCTAGTCGTGTCCTCTTTTGGAAGACCAAACAAAGTAGTTTCGCTTTCACAACGAAACACACAGCGCCTTCACGACATGGTGGCGGCGGCAACAATACTACAGCGAGAATAAAAGTTATGCCTTCTTTCTTTGCGTGAACATTTGGGCGGCGTTATGCAAATCGTCCCACATTGTGACGTAGATATGTGGGGGCGTGTTAGAACGAGCCGTTTTAGGTAGGCGTGGCTGACTCTTAACTTTTATAAAGAATATCTCTTTGGATTTGAGACTTTAGTCTTTGCAACTTTACAGATCTTCTTTATGCACCAAGAGCTTGTAACACTCCAAATAGAAAGGAAAAATTGAAATCGCATCATATGACCCCTTTAAATGTTGGTCTCTTCAACCTATGGCATTATAGTGATTAGTATTAAATCTGTACTTGACTAAATAAATAATGACAGAATTGTCACTTTCACCATTTCTTTACTAAAAAGCTTTTTGTTTTCTTTTACATAACTTCCCACAGGTTACATGAAAAAACTTTTTCAACCGGCTGTGTTAAAAATGAAAAAGAAAATAAGCTACAACCTAAAATCTTCACACATTGACAGGTGCTAAAACAGAAACGCTAGCATTAGCACAGACTTACACCTGTGCCTAATGGATCAAATTAGCAGATTGTCACAAATCTTTCCCTACCTCGTTGGCATCTCGCTCGCGCTGCAATTTCCGCTACATTTGGGGAGCCGCTTAATTAAAGTTCATTATGGCATGCTAACACTTAGCAAAGAGGGAACAAGTCCTGTGATGAAAAACTACGGCAATTCCGGAGCGAGCACGACATTCCTAATTTCCCGACTAATTGCTGCAAATGTCTAACAGCGATTTGGGCAATTATGAGGTACATTTCGAACAAAAGCAAACAGGGTGGAGGTAATACCACTAATAACAGGAATTGGCTTGGTGAGGTTGTGATGAAGTTAAATTGAGGGGGGAACGCGATTGTGGAGCCGAGGGAACAGCTGGCTGGCGTGAAAACTCACTGGTTTAATATGACTGAATGGCGCTGTTCATTTATCACAGTGAAAAACCCTGTTGGACTTTGCAATACATGCTCACCACGTTCACTGACGACGCTACACTAATACATTCTTCAGCTTTTTGGAGCCAGCTGGGTGCTTAACACTGTCAAAGTAGCTTACTTTATTCATTTATCACACCTCACAGAATTATACTAATGCTGTATTTCTATTTTAATGGCTTTTTGAACTGTTTGGATGGTTCATTTAGTTGTACTTGTTCTACAAGTCTCAAAAATCCTAAAACTAAGCATTTTAGTCTTAACCCTTACAAAAATTAACCATGGTTTTTCTACACTAACCATAGTTTAACCAGGCTACTATTAGATGGATAGCCTAAATGTCCTAATTCAGATGGACTACCTGTTTTTTTTATGGTATATCAAAAAGTGTATATTTTTTAAATGTGATTGTTGGTACAGTTGACCAGTTTTTACCATACTTTCAAAACAAAAATTAAAATAGGAAAAATATGCAATATGAAAATAATTGAAGACAAAATGTGTTTTACTGAGAAAAAACAAGATTTGTTTTTTAAAAAGCCTTTTTCCAAAAGGTACATCTGGAAAAAGGGGGGTTGTCTTATAATCAGGGTCGTCTTATATTCGGGCCAATACGGTGTTAAAATATATATAAAAAATATTATAGAAGACAAATTAATGGTTATTGTCCAGCAGTGTATTTTTATTTCTTAGCCAATTAAAAGTAAGACATAAGAAAGTTTTTTTTTTGTCAATTAGACATACATAAATAAATATTATTGGCCTATTATTATTATTATTATTATAACTACATTTGACATTTATGTCCCCCTCACTTCTGAAATAATTGCTACTCCCCATGCCCTGTAACATAACTGAATATAACACTTTAGCTATATGCTGTGTTATCTTTATTTGGGGATCAAATATGTTGTGGCTCCACGTGAATTTTATTCGCAGGGAAAGGGGCCAAAATGGCTCTTTTGGTGTTGAAGGTTGCAGACCCCTGTATCTTGACCCCTCAATATCCTTGAGCATATTTCTAAATACTTACAGTACATCACTTTTTCAAAACTCTTCACACTTGGCACAGCAGTTAATTTCACTTTTAAAATGCACTAAAAATACCAAAACACTTCATATCAACTCATTCTTTCATAACACTTGCAAAGCTTGTCATCCAACAAGCACTCTTTGTCACTCATAAAACAATCACCTAAATAACACTAACAAGAGTGTAATATTGTAGGCCAAAATAACTGAAATGACCTATTGGTGCTCAGGTCTTTTAAAATCATACCAATCATATTTATCTGCTCACATCCTGTTTTTCTGTGGTTTATAGGGTTGTCTATATGAACCATACCACGCTTTCCCTGTCAGAAGCCTTTAGAGTCTTCAAGGGCTTTCAGTCATTTCCTATCTGACCCTAGAGCCAAGGGTAACAAGAGAAAGAGAACATAAACCATTTCATAGATATTAAATATCTTTATAATATTATTAGCTAGATTTCTGAAGATAATGTTACAGTTTGCTATGGTGTAAGCAAGCACAACTAAATAGTTTTATCATTCATGCTACAAACTTGGGATTGCAAATATCAACAGACAGACTTACAAAGAATTGTAAAGACTTTTATATTTATGATGCTAAGCTACTTAAACTGACTAAATTTCTCAGTGCACCCACATAAATTCCTCTGCTTTCAGACACATCAAAAGAGAAGCTGTATTGACGGAGATTATGAGACTGACATGTTCCTTCTTTTTGTTTCAACAGTCGGATCACATCCCTGATCTAGGAGCCCCTAGCATGGCACGAACTCTAGCCCCTGTCTTTGAAGTGCTTGCTAAGATGACCCCAAATGTGCTGAGCGTTCAAAGGAATGGTATGGAAGATTTCGGTTGATTTCTATAGAGAAAGGAAGAAAAGGAGCATAAGAGTCTCAAGAGAGATGAGAAGGAAAGAGAGGAAGAAAGGGTTCAAAGAATGAGAGAGAGAGAGAGTTGCTGTGAACAGAAAGAGCAAAGGATGAAGGAAAATCGTAAGGTCTGATTTGGTTGATGTGGTTCAATTGACTCCAGATAAAAGGAGCTGAGAGCTGCTTCGAACATGCGATTCCTTTTCAATTGTTGTGTTTAGATTAGTTCCACAGTTTCCGATTATTATGATGCATATTGCAAGTGTTTTGAGGTATATTATTCAGGGGCAAGGGTAAGCTTTGAGAGGAATTGATACAGTAGCATATAAATTATATTCTGCATGAAGAAAAGGATGTCCATGGCTTTGCATTGTTCCATTATATTTATGACATTTACACATTTGTAACAAAATTCTCATTTCCGTAGTGCATCTGGACATTTTGTAATTCCCATCATCCCATCAATGTTCATTCTCATTAGATTCTATCATTGCAATTTTTACGACTTACTTCATTAATATTATTATAGAAAGATTTTATAAAGATATTTTTAATGAACATAAATTTAAGGTATTAAAACAAATAGTACAGTATATTGACTGTAATATTTGCATTTATTGTAGCATTTAGCATTTATTTTAATAATATACTGTATTTTTGCATTTATTTAGTATTTTGCTCAATTCTGTCAGAAAAATTCTTAATAGTCCAAAAAACGCCCTTATTTTCAATTTTCATATTCTTTCAATCCCTTTTTAATACAGACTTCAATAGTTTGTTTACGGATTTCTTTTTGAGTTTTTAGCGTGTTTTGCGCTGTAAGCTATTCATGATACTTTTTATATTTGATTGGTGATTTTTGTACAGTGTCCCAACTTTTTTGGAATCGGGTTTGTACATTGTCGAAATGTAATTCTGACAGAGTTTTGGACACTTTAGTCTTTTTCATTTCAAGAGCTGTACTTAATTGTTTTGTACAATTGGGGGAGTTTCCAAAATCGCCATCTAGTGAATCGATTTGCCTTAAAGGGACTTTGAGTGTAATCAAAGTATGTGTGCAAATCTCATTACACTCAAAGGAAAGGCAAAATAACTTCCTTTTAGGTTTGCTCTGCCTCGTAGAATAGCAGAACGCAAGATAAAAGCAGCCTAGACGGGTTCATTCAGATCTATTATGAAGTAATCTCTTTATCATAAAGCAGAAATAATTCTAGGCAGAAATAACCTTTTCTTTTGTCTCCGTTTGAAGTGTTTTTCAGTTCTTTCCAAACTGCAGCAAAGACAAAGTAGCTCATTTTCTCAGGCCGAGAAAGTCTGTCTTGCCTTCTGTATCCCATTCCCTAACAACAGATCAATTAGAATTGAGTTGCCGTAAGCGGGATGTATTGATCTATGATCATAATTTCCATAAATGCCATGAGTCCAGAGGCACAATTGATCCAGGCCAGACTCAGGCCATTTTGTCTATATATGAGCATTATTTGCATCATAATGGGAGTCACCATGGCTATTGACTGAAGAAACATTTTTACATGAAGATCATGTTGTGGAAAATAAAAATCCCAAGTGAGGCCTCTATATTATCTGAACTGCTTTCAGCCTCGTTTAGAAAATAAATCGGGATTAAACGGAGACTTTTAAACATCTTAATCCTTCAAACTTAATTTTTGCTCTTCTTCAATCTTGTATTTATTCATAGTAATTGCACCGCACAAGTGCAAAAACTGTTAATTCTGACATTGGTGACAGAAGATAAATAGCACTGTGTTTTCGTCTCCTACTGTTTTTACTGTACATCTTCCAATGAAATTGATCAATAACTCCCTCTCAAATGCAATGTGTTTTGAGCATATAAAGAGCTTACATTATAATTAGAGAATGTATTGAAATGTCAAGATCTTTTGGAGGTGAATGTTGTTAAAATGTCACCAGGGTGTTTAACTCTTCTTCTATTTTGTTGTCACCCCCATTTTGCCACAGTAATAATACATTTTCTTGGGCAAAACTCCACAATGCTTTAGGGTGTTGCCAGGTCATTGCTACATGGTTGCTAGGGTGTACCTATGCAGTTGCTAGGGCATTTTGACTGGTTTCTAGGTTGTTTACTCACTGGAGTCTCTCGTTCAGTGTAGATTTTTTTTTGTCTGCAATGCAAAAATCAAAAGTCTGATTGCTTAAAGGCAGAGTAAGCGATTTCTGGTAGCCAGTGTTGATATTTGAAATCACCAAAACAAACACACCCCTACCCCAAAAGGGTCTTGCCCCTAATTTGATAGCTCCACCCCACGTATATACGTACGCAACCCAGGCAACGATTAGTTCTGTGAAACAAAGCAAAACCAATGTTACACCGTGTCTATGGACGTGAGCTGCGCGGCGGCGTAACAAATCCCCGACAGAAAACTGCTGCCGGGTTCTATTTATGACATGCTGACACAAATTTCAAATGGTTTTCAACGGTCGTTTGATCGCGTCCAGTGTAGGCAGACTTTAGCTGTTGTAGACATGGTGTTACTCAGCTATTGAGAAGAAACAAAGCAACCTCGGCATCTGATCGCAGGCCTCCGCTCCTTGAGTTCTCTCCAGCGCTGGAAAGCTGATCCGATATTTACACGGATCCTACTTCTTGCCTTATTATTCCGCAGACGTTTTCCTCTTTTGTTTTTTATCCGCCATCTCTATCTTTCTGTCGCTCGGCTCGGCTAATGTCCGTCCAATGCACTGAAAGCTCTCTCCTCCACATCACGAGTAGACACGCCCCTTATTGCTGATTGGCTACAAGTTTGTTTTGCTATTCGGCCGAATCAGTTTTCTAAAGTGTTTTTGAAAAATCACATACCCTGCCTTTAATATAGCACATTTAAATATGAAGAGATTTTATGTATTCAGAGTGTTTATTGTAAGAAATTGGCTTGAAAGCATTGTAAAGATGAAGGTTTTAGATGCACACATTGTAAAAACATTAGGCTATTTTAAACACTCTTTATTCTTACTGCACTGATTAATATTAATCGTGACCCTGCTTCAACATCTACAAAGGAAATCAATGAATACAGTTTCACACAGCGCTGGTGTGTGAAAACACAAATTCTAAAGGTCAGCAGCCAGTCACTCGATGGCTGGGAAGCTAAAATCTCACTTCAAGGCTTCAGAGCAAACAGCATATTATTGTCAGAGATCCGTCATTTTCCAGTCCAGGAGGAAAGTGTGGGATTGACTCTGAACACAGACTTGGCTTTAGCTACACAGTGCCACCTACAGACATAAAACTGTTCACTTATGACACTGTTAACTTTATTATAAATACCACACAGCCTACATTTTTATTTATTTTTGGTCATTTGGCAGATATATTCAGGGGGAAATACAGAGAGGACAGCATGAGAGACAATAGTATAAAAAATATGTAAGCTACTGTGCAGTCCACCTCTTTGACTACAGATAGGAATATTCTTTCATTTATTAAAAAAAAAAGGTTGCAAAGGTTAAAAGCTTAAAGCTTGGAACTTGTGAATGAAACTTGCAGTTTAATGTCAAGTAACTGCTTGGTTACCGCTCTGATCGATTCAGTTCAGTTAAGGATTCTTCAGACTGATTCACAACGGTAATTCGTTAAACAAGTCAGTAAAAGAACCGTCTCATAAAAGTTATTCGAACGTTTTTTTCCCACTAAAAATAACCGACTAAGAGTCGTTCGTTCGTCTCCAGATGATTTACTAACTAGAAACGCCTCATAACAGTCATTTGTACGTAAATCGGGCATTGTATGCTTTGATTCACAAAAAAGAATAGGCTACGAGTCATTTGTTCGTAAAGCGCGCTTCACTGGTCATGCTCAGTGATCTATATTCTATAGGCCTAATATGTGACCATGGACCACAAAACCAGTCATAAGGGTCAATTTTTTGAAATTGAGATTTATACATCATCTGAAAGCTGAATAAATAAGCTTTCCATTGATGTATGGTTTGTTAGGATAGGACAATATTTGGCCGAGATACAACTAGCCTATTTGAAAATCTAGAAAAATATTGAGAAAATCGCATTTAAAGTTGTCCAAATGAAGTTCTTAGCAATGCATATTACTAATCAAAAATTAAGTTTTGATATATTTACGGTAGCTATAATTTACAAAACATCTTCATGGAACATGATCTTTATATCCAAATGATTTTTGGCCTAAAAGAAAAATCGATCATTTTGACCCGTACAATGTATTGTTGGCTATTGCTACAATACCCGTGCTACTTGTGACTGGTTTTGTGGTCCAGGGTCACATATTATATAGGTCAGTGGTCACGCTTTTGAATCACTAGAATGAATCGGCTGACAAGAGTCACATTTTTTCTTGAATCGGAACACGAGACGTTTTGACATTTTAGCTTGCAGTTTTCCGTGAGAATAGCTCAAAAGAAAGATGTTACCAGTGTTGGGGGTAACGCATTACAAGTACCGCAAGTTACATAATCAGATTACTTTTTTCAAGTAACTAGTAAAGTATCACATTACTTTTTTAATTTACAAGAAAATATCTCAGTTACTTTTTCAAAAAAGTAATGCCAGTTACTTTGTTTTCCCATTTATTGACTGACAAGTCTCCTGTCTCCATATTGGGAGAAATCGGAAGTGCAGAGTTATTGTGTGCGCTCTGTGTACATGATGTTACTGTAGTTCTAAACTAAATGTGAATGTGCATTAATTAATGTGCATTAATTCATCCCACTCACAAAAAACAGATTTAGAGTGAAATGCAAGCTCAGAATATGACGCAAACCTGCAATAATTAAATATGTTAAATAACACAAATGTATCTAATCCCATTTTATTAACCAATGTCTTTGCTGCTGACCTTTGATGATCCAGTTCAATCATACTAATAAGCAAAAATGACTTTACATAAACTAACAATTGTGCTTCATTGAAAAGTAACTTTCCCCAACACTGGATGTTACTATTCTTGTTCATTGTCTTTTAATGCAGAAAGCTCACATTCACAACTCCGGTAAAATATGATTTTGATGATTTTGCTGCAGCGCTTAAGATTCCTATGTTTACCAATGTTTTTTTTTTATGTATGTATTGTGACCTCTTTGATGTTTTTTTATAAGCAAGTAGGTAAGTGAGTAAATAAATAACTAAATAAATGCTAATAAATCAGAGAGCCAAAATACACTTTGATAAACATACAATAATGATTCATGTCTTAACGTTGTTTCACGGGAAAATGCATTGGAGAAGAGGCGAAGATCTTCCGCGAGATACATGCAGAAAGTGCCAGGTACACAGTGAAAGTTTAATGTTAAAGATTTGGTTTCCCTAACCCCTAAATATGCAGTACTCCATATGTTTTACTTAACAATTACCCCTAATTATTTGTGAGATATGTGCCTTGTTAACAACTGTTTTCCCTAGTCTTTCCCTAATGTGACAAAGACAAACTGCCCTCTTCTGTCCCCTGCTGTGTTGTTCTGTGGGGATAAAACACCAAACACTCAAGCTCATTAACCAGATTGTTTATATGGCGTCGCCCTCTGAGTTTTACATGGTGTCACATACTACATACTACAATACAGCATAGTGTTTCTCAGTAATACAGCTGGACTCATGATGCATGTGACTTCCAGATGTCAGAGATGGTCACCCAGACCACAGGAGTGGTTATAAATATAACACCAACATTTCAAACATTTCCATTTTTGTTAATGAACCCCGGTGTTGATTTATCAAAGAGGAAGTTATTATGAGATTTAACAAAGCAAATGCAGATAAAGCAGAGAATATATCTTGTGTGCATCCCGGGGGGTTCAATTACTGCAAAATGACACGATCAGACATGATGGATAACTGGCTGCAACTAAATGTGTTTGGAGTGCAACTTCACAAACAGTAATGCAGTGAAATGAGGGAATGTGTAATTGCTTTTGTGTATCTTGGTGTGCATATACAGTATACGGATACACGTGAGAGCTGTTTTCGGACTCAAAATTACCAGATTACCGCCAGACATTATTTCTTTCGCTGTCACTAAGCATTAGTCCATTTTTCCATCTCTACGGCATTACCTTGATTGAAAAATGGTAATGAAGATGCATAATGAAGCGAGCTAATATCCTGCGGTCAATAACATAACCTAATAAAGTCAGTAGACGTCCATTTATGTGCCGCGGCACCAGGCAGCTGAAGTTTATTATCGGACAGATGACTGAATTACCTTCTCAAAACAAGGTAAATGTCTTTTGATGATAGTGGTGACTAGTGTCTCAAAAGGGATTATTAGGGATAATTGTTTGTTAGCAAACATCACTGCTGCTCATACTTGGTTAAGGTGCAGTCATATTTACGGCTGTCCACAAAATTTTGTATGCGAAATTCATTTGTTTCAATAGGAATACACGCAATTGGGAATTTCGTATGAGGCCCATGCAAATTTCACCGGCAGAAGTCTGCTGGGTTTAAAAATTACTCCTGTGGGAGTTATATAATTTCTATGCATATAAAGTCACTTTCTTAAATGTAATTTGATACGGACACCAGAATGGGACGTCTCATCTTTGACCCTTAAATGAAACGCAATATGGCGGTAAGTTTTGCACAGGTAAACAACACTTAATTTTAATTAAAAATCATACTGATAACATCACTGTTTTTATTCTTTTTAGATTAGAATGTGTTTATTTGTATTAGATTGTGCACAGTGCAGTAGGTATACAGAAAGATGCATCTGCGCGTGGAATATCCTGTGGAGACGCCATGTGATGCATGTCTTCAATAACAGCACATTTCTAATCTGCTGGAAAGGAACGCTGATGGTTTGTGAATCAAAGCCCCTCTTTTATTACTCCATCTGTTTCCTCTGGATACGGCCGGCATTGGGTTTCTTGGTTGTAATGCCACATTTGATTTCATCTCGTTTTCCTTTTACTCACACTCCTCCCTTAATGTCAGGTTTATTTTTTGTCTAGCAACACTTCCCATAGGAAAGAAAAATCACAAATGGGATCTTTAACATCTCAGTTGTTTCTCCTAGATGGCGATGAGATTACATGGACAGCAAATGAAGACTGAAATCCTCAAAATTCTTCTCCCAAGAAGCCAAGAAGAAAGTCATTTCACATGTGAGTTAGAAAAATGTCTCGAACTATGTTTGGATTTTTTTTTAAGATGCCCGCATGATTTTCAGCCTAAGCCTAGCAAAAGTCATTCTGTGTTTTTGATTTTCATCAAATTTCATTGTCATTGCTATCACGATGTTTGGAGACATCATCATCACATACTGCTCATAAAATGAAAATATTGATACATCTTCTATTCAATATCTTCTAATATTGATACAGCTTTTTTTGCACCACATTGTAATCTTAAGCTCGTTCTTTTTCCTTCATGCAAAGTTCGATAATATCACAATACTTTGTTTCCAAGGTATTCAATCTATAATGTCCATAATCAGTAATATTTCTTTGTTGAAAAAAATTTTTTTTTGAAAGATATCCGCAGAGTTCCTACAGCTGACCAATGAATTTCTTCCAGTTATTTGTTAATTCGTTTAAAAATTAATTTAATAATTAAATGATTTAATGCTTATTTTTATGCACTCAAAATGAGCCATTTTTGGCTGATTAAATATGGTAGAGGAGACCATAACTAGATAATATAGAAATTTTCATTATGTTTCTAGACCTCACAATCAAAAATGTAAAATTTCATTGTACTTTCTATACTAATCAATGATCTATACAAATCAGTGATTTCGATATGAATTCAAACAATACTCATCAAATTCCTCCATGGCCAAATAATCTGAGCTGCTATCAAACTTGATTTTATATATCTATACTTTTACTGTATGTCATTGATTTTCTCACTTGTCTTTTTTTATTTCTTCTAAGGAATTTTTGGAGAAACGTCTGAGACAAATTTGATACTTGAAAGAAACAACTGAGAACTGAATTACGTCTCCTGAGGTATGAAAGAGCAACCAGCCCAGAGAAGCTCATGTAGAGCAGGTGTCCTCAAGCACCTCATTCCCACAGAATGCAGAACGGCGTCCAGATCCTCTTATCTGGAGGAGAAATCCAGCTGCACCTCGGAAATAGCTGACGGGCTCAGAGGAGCCTGTGATCATGTGACTCTCTGAAATAACAAAGCATGGGTTAAACAAAGACAAGCGCTAGCAGATGTGTGGGAGCAGCAGGCTCCGGATCAGTCAACAGACACGTAAAGCCGCCCGATTCACTTCTCGAGGTAAAACATTTGTCATCTGCATCCACTCAGAGCCAAGCTTTTGGCAAGCATCTTTATCGTTTTGCTGCCACACAAAGAAACGCACAACTGAAAACATCATGTAGCTCGCAGGCCTGTATAAAAGGAAGAATCACAAAATGAGATCTTTTTCATATCTCAATTGTTTCTCCTAAACAAATATGAGATTACATGGTGATCAGATGGAGACTTTTGCTTAAAGGAGTTATATTTCAACAATGAAATTTGAGCAGAAAGATGATACTGACTGCAAATGAAGGTAATTAAACATGTTTTCCTCTAGGGGTCACAGCAAAAAAAAAAGTAAAAATGTAGATAAATTAAGTCTGTTAAATGATGCAAAGACCGATGCTGTTTGAAATCGTTCATGCTGTTAACATAAAGTGCACATCAGATTAACATAAAATATACACATCATCTGAAATAAGCTTTCCATTGATGTATGGTTTGTTAGTGTAGGACAATATTTGGCCGAGATACAACTATTTGAAAATCGCCTTTGAAGTTGTCCAAATGAAGTCCTTAGCCATGCATATTAATCCAAAATAAGTTTTGATATATTTATGGTAGTAAATTTACAAAAAGTCTTCATGGAACATAATCTTTCATTAATATCCTAATGATTTTTGGCATAAAAGAAAAATCGATCATTTTCACCCATGCAATTTATTGTTGGCTATATTTATTTTTCATTCCATTTGTAATCCAATTTTAGGAGAAAATTAATTTTGTTAGTCTGGTTATATCAAGAGTTGTAATGCCAAAAGTAATAATAATATAATAATAATAATAATAATAATGTTTCCACTGCTTTTGTCACTTTAAAAAGGGAAGAACAAGTAAAGTGCATTGCATTGCATTTCAGCTCAGGAAACATAATATATCAGCTTTGTAAATACACAAACATGCATGTATATATTTCAGAAATGTTATGTTTATAAATTAAATATATTTATATATAATATAAAATACAATAATATAAATGTAAATATTTTCAAAATATATACTAAATGTGTGTGTATTTATATATACATAATAAATAAACATAGTACGCATATATATATATATATATATATATATATATATATATATATATATATATATATATATTATATAAAAAAATAATATTGTAAGTTCTACATTACTTCGTTTTATGAGCTGCAAACAAACTGATCTGGGACACAAGGTAAATAATATATAACCTACATATGACTATGATTTAGCACGTAACATGCCAAGCTGGGACCACGTGATGGTATAATTACGTCATGACGTAAGGAATCGCTGTGCTTTGAAACGGTTCGCTTAAACGAACCGCTCAAAAGAACCGATTCGCGGAAATGAATCGGACTTCCCATCAACCACTCTATTTCGCACTTCTAACCGCCCGCTTCCGGTGTTGTTTCACTGGTAAAAGAGTCGCGCAGTTTATGCAAGGAAATGTAAGGGAAAGTAAAGGTAAGTTAGTTCGCTATAGTTGTTTTAAAAAGCCGTAAAAGGCAAATTATTATTTTAGATGTGCAAAAGATGTAATACATGCGCTGCGGACGGAGGCGGGGCTATGAAAGATAAAGACGGTTAGCGGAGCGCGAGTAGCCTACTGCTGATTGGCCATGAGCGTTTACGCGTGACTTGAGTCGAGCTGTCTCTGCTGAGGGACATAACGCGGAAAAACTGTTTACTCGAGCTGCTGAAGGGCGCATAAGGTGCTTAACATTATGAGTACTTCCCACGGTCATAGAAAACCTGTAAATGTAAGGGAATTAAAGCTGCATTGTTAAGTCCTGGAAATTAAGTCTTAAAAGTAATGGAAACATGAAAATGCATGCTTTTTTTCTAGTTACACTGCTCTTGGTATGATTAATAATGATGGTATATACACTACCAGTCAAAAGTTTTTGAACAGTAAGATTTGTAATGTTTTTATAGAATTCTCTTCTACTCACCAAGCCTGCGGTTAACAGTAATATTGTGAAATATTTGTACTATTTAAAATTACTGCTTTCTATTTGAATATATTTTAAAATGTAGTTTATTCCTGTGATTTCAAAGCTGATTTTCTAGCATCATTCCTCCAGTCTTCAGTGTCACATCATCCTTCAGAAATCATATACTAATAGTCTGATTTGCTGCTCAGAAAACATTTATTATTATTATTACTATTTCTATTTAAAACAGTTGAGCACATTTTTTTCAGGATTCTTTGATGAATAGAAAGATTCAAAGATCAGCATTTATCTGAAATAAAAAATGTTTGTAACATTATACACTATATATACAGTATTTTTTTTGGGGGGGGGGGGTAAATTTATAGAAATTAACACTTTTATTTAGCAAGGATGCTTTAAATTGATCAAAAGGGATGATAAAGACATTTATAATGTTACAAAATAGTTCTATTTCAGATAAATGCTGTTCTTCTGAACTTTCTATTCATCAAAGAAACCTGAAAAATTCTACACCGCTGTTTCCAACACAATAATAATAATAATAATAAATGTTTCTTGAGCAGCAAATCAGAATATTAGAATGATTTCTGAAGGATCATGCATGTGACACTGAAGACTGGAGTAATGGTTGCTGAAAATTCAGATTTGCCTTCACAGGAATAAATTAAATTTAAATATAAAAACAGGTCATTTAAATTATAATAATATTTCACAATATTACTGTTATATGTATTTTTACTATTACTGTTTACTGTTTAGTCACACATCAAATTTGGCTGAGAAATTGCCCACACATTTTTTTAAAAACCATTATTGTGTTACATGAGGAAAGAATGAAATAGATAATACAAAAAGTAGCTTTAGAAAGAAAATGCTTCTTTGGGTGAACTATCCCTTTAAATAGTTTATTATTAATATGGACTTTTTATTTTTATGGAATTAAGTAAATGGCTCTTTTTATAAATGGGCCATTGAATAGACATATAGACATAATAAATAAACATAGTACGCATATATATATATATATATATATATATATATATATATATATATATATTATGTAAACAAAAACTTTTATTTTGGATGCAATTAATTATTTGACAGCACTAATATATATATATACATATATACACATACACACATTTATTGCCAGGGTGATATGGTGCACATTTTGACAAATGTGGTTGGTCATGCATCTAAAAAAAGATTTATACTGAACTTGAAATAGTATATTAGCATGCTACTCTTTCTGCCATATTGAGATGTAGCTGAAATAATAACAGTAGTATGCTAGTATGCTATTCTGAATTCAGCCAGCCTGAAAGCCTTTCATATAAAGGGCCCAGCTACTAAAGGACACATAATTGCAGCTGGCGCTGCCCTCTAGTGGTGTGAGACTCTCTATATATGACAGGCTCAGAGCTCATTTAGCATGTTTCATAATGAGCAGCTGCTGCCTGTCTGTGTCTGCGGGGAGTAGAGGGGTCACGGATACCTGCTTCCTGCGGTCCCCAGCAGATGGCCCTTGCTTGCTGGCACCGGAGTCAAAGACGCCACCAGTCCCATTCAGTTCCCCTGGGCCAAATTAGAGGCCATTTATGGAGTTACTCAGAACAGCATAATAGGGTTGATAGGCAGCTCCAACTGATCTGAGACCTGTCCTCTCACAGCTTCCTCTCATGTCGGAGCGTTTACCACAGCATGTCGTAACATTCTGTGAAAGACTAACACAACACACCACCTGATAAACACGCTTTATGCTTGTGAGGGAATCAGTGGTGTGTTTTGTAGGATAAAGTGTGAAAGAATCCATTGCAACCTCTGAAAATAGTGAATTTAGGCTGCATTTTCTTTAAGAATTGTGTTTTTCCTCTTAGTATATAGTATAGTGGTGTAAATGAGAAAAAACAGAACTGAGTAGAATTGTCTTTTTTTTTTACAAGCATTAGTCTAACTTCAGACTGGTGGAATGTAGATAATTCTTGATTTTGCCCCTTCATTTTGATTTCATTGCATATTCAAAATATACAAACATTAAAATGTTAACAGAAATAATACAAATAGAAATATAGCCAAATTACAACAAAGGTTATAAATAAATAAATAAAGGTTATACAGTTATAAAATGTCCAATAGTAATATGTTACTATAATGATGACAATACATCATATATACTGTATGTGTGTATATATATATATATATATATATATATATATTAGTGCTGTCAAACGATTAATCGCATGCAAAATAAAAGTTATTGTTTGCAATATATGTGTGTGTTCTGTGTATATTTATTATGTATATATAAATACACACACGTACAGTAAATATTTTGAAAATATTTACATGTATTTACATGTCTATATTTATATTCATATCATTTATATTTTAAATATATATATTTAATATATAAACAACATATTCTTCTGAAATATATACATGCATGTGTGTGCATTTATATATTCATAATAAATATACACAACACACATATATTATTTAAACAAAAACCTTTATTTTGAATGCGATTACTAATATTGTAAAGCAAGTCTGTAAAGTTGGCAGCAGTTGAATAGAGCTCTACAGCTTCTTAATTGGCATGGGCTGGAGGGAAATTTAAAAGGGCGGAGTCAAAATTGAACCTGACCTTTCCAGCCAATCAACATTAAAGAGAGATAGGTAAGTAGTTGCATCTTTTGAAAACTCAGAGGAATGCATTGAGAGACTAACAATGGGAAGAAGCTCAGTGGTTGTTGATGTTATTTTTATAGTTTCTTGTGGATTATTGTGTCGTGCTGAACCATTGAATCAAGGGGAACTGTCTTTAGATCAGGGCTTTAGTCAAAATGCCGTCTTCAGTCATCCAGTGCAAGAGCCTGCACAGTTTGATCAAAATGCGGTAGCATCCAACATATTTCAAAACTTCATTGAGTCCAGGAGACCTGCCTCAGCAATGGTGGGACCTCCATCACAAGAGTTTGTCCAGATACCAATGCAAGTACACCCCCAGAGAGCCAACTACACATCCATGCCTCTTCTACCTAGCAGGCCTTTGAAAAGCCAAGGACATTTTGGACTAATACAACCTAAACAAACAGTTGAGACTTTCTCACAAACCCAACAGGGATTCCACAAACCCATTTCTGGTCCTGACCTTTATCCCGATGTGAAGGATGAGGTTATAGAGCCAGAGTTTGAACCCAAGGTGCCAGTGCCGGCAAACACTGTCGAGGTTCAATGTGGAGAGGTCTCCGTCAAAGTGCAGGTGAAGCAAGATTTCTTGGGGAACAATCAGTTCATTAACCCCTCTGATCTGACGCTGGGTGGTTGTCCATCTGTTGGATTTGATGACCATGCCAGGATTGTTGCCTTTGAGTCAGCGCTACAAGGATGTGGGAGCACATTAACGGTACTGTATGTCCTGTTAAGCATTGTTTCTCCAGCTGTTGTGATCCTGTTAAGATTAGTCTAAAATGATACAAAAATCCTTACCCAAGATGCTCTTTGGTGTTCTCATGTTTGTGGTCACCTGAATTAGAAATGTGGCTTACCAGGGGAACCATAATAGTCAGATGCTTTCTTAATTGCTGTTTTCTCACCACTGTAATTTAGTTGTTTATTAAAAGCGCTCAAGGTATTCATCTAACCGGGATGTTAACGCTAACAAAATAATGCTGCTCTGGTATTTTGAACTTAAAACACCTAAGTGAAGAACGAAAAATAACTTTGCCATGAATATATCTGGGCCTTTATTGTAAAGTTTGCTCCATTTACACTTGATCCAGATCAGACATCTGTTAATCTGAATTTACCATATTGATTTTATTTAATTTTTTCTGGCCAGATCTACGTCACTTGTCATTTGAAGGCTACTACCACTTCCAGTCCCACTGATATGATGAACAAGGCCTGCTCATTTGTTAAAGAAACCAACAGGTATGGGTAATGTTGGAAGCACGTTTAGCAGTCTCCATTCAACATTTAATAATGTTTGTTTGTGGTTTTTAACAGCTGGACTGCAATAAACGGAGATGATCAGGTGTGTGGTTGTTGTGAGACAAGCTGCACCATGAGGAAGGGCAGAAGTCTGGATACTGATGGTATAGTTCCACTTTTACATGCATCCAAATATATTTGAGCTATTGCTGTGGACGTTGAGTTTTTTTTTTTATTTTTAGATTCCACATTGGAAGATGAGGCTACTGTTGGGCCGATTTTTGTCCATGAACTGCTGTCAGTGGAGGATGAGCCTCTACTGCAAATTCACAAGTCTTCTCGGGTGTCGTCAAAAGATGCAGGTGACCATGTTGACGTCTTTCAGAAAAATCCGAATCTTACAGACCCCAAACTTTTGAACGGTAGTGTATGTTGACTATTAAATGCATTAAGTTGGCACTTCAAGTTAAAAGAAATTAAACTTTTTTTTAGATATAAAGATCAGAAGAACAGCATTTCTTTTTAAATTGAAATCATTTTTAACCATAAGTGTCTTTATGGTCAGTTTTGGTCAATTTAATGCATCCTTCCTGAATAAAAGCATTCATTTCTGAAATCTTACATTCCCTGGATTCTCATGGTAATGCATTTTACTTGAAAAATAAGGCAAGTCTTGGGCCCTTTGTAATTGTCAAACTTTCTGAAACATGTTATATTGAACTACTGCAAAACTATTGCAAGTTTATTCATGGATTTACATCTGTGAAAAATCACCTTGTGACCACCATAATTGAAAAAGTGGCTCAGAAAAGTGATGTTGGCCACATTAAGAGTTACTTAAGAGTCCAAATATGTTTTAGGGCCACTGCAGATACAAAGATGTGTAGGTCTCTGTCAAGCAGCCATGTCGTAGCCCTTACTTCTCACCTTCTTTTTTCTAGAGTTCTCCATGGAGTTGGTGCTCATGACTGGTTTGGTGGTTGCAGTTGGACTTGTGTGTGTCATTGTCCTTGGAACGTTGTTTTACCAAAGGCGGCAGAGACGGCTTGTGTTAACTTGTGAATGACGATAAAAGCGGTTTTATCTTAATGGATGTGTTGTTTCTTTGGTCTGGTGTTGCCTGAAGTTAGTTGGTTAAAGCCCATTAGCTTCTTGTTTCTGTTCAGGGGATCTCATTTGTAGTAAATGACCCTTTAACTTTTAAAAGGGCTGATGCAGCACCGTTTACTGGTTTGGAGCACAGTAACAATTTGCTGCTCATGGTTTTTCAGTGTTTTGCTGTAAAAGTGACATACACTGGTGTACGTGTCTGAGTGTGCTTATATGCTTTTAGAGGGCAAAAAAGTTGAATAGATCTGGCTGATAAGATTGTTCAACCACTTTCTATTAAGAAAATATTGAGTGTGCAATGAAATCAATCTAAGTTTGACTGTATGCTACTGTTGAAAATGTAGGTGTCACTGACATAATTTCTTATAAATGCTATTCTTGAGTTTTCTATTTTAAAAAAAATGCATTTGTATCTAAAATATCAGGGATCACAATGTTTCTTGAGCAGCAAATCGGCATATTAGAATGATTTCTGAAGGATCATATGACACTGAAGACTGGAGTAAAGGTGTTAAATTCAGCTTTGCATCACAGAAATAAATCACATTAACAAGTAGTTGAGCCTAAGTGACATTTAATACACGTGTGTGTGTGCTGTCAAACAATTAATCGCAATCCAAAATAAGTTTGTTTACATAACGTGTGTGTGTACTGTGTATATGTATATATAAATACACATGGTATATATATTTTTATAAATGCAGTGTGTATATATATATTTAGAACATATTTACATGTATATATTTATATACATTTAATATATAAACAAATTTCTCTTATATATATACATGTGTGTATTTATATATATATATACATATACAGTACACATATATTATGTAAACAAACTTTTTTGGATTCAATTAATTGTTTGACAGCACTACTATATTTGTGTGTGTATATGTATAAATGTGTGTATGTGTGTGTGTGTATATATATATATATATATACTGTGTGTATATATGTGTGTAATATGTATTTATATATATCTATATATGTGTGTGTACAGTGTGTGTATATATGTGAGTGTGTGTGTATATATGTGAGTGTGTGTGTGTGTATATATATATATATATATGTGTGTATATACAGTGTGTGTGTGTACTATGTATGTATTTCTATATATATACATGTGTGTGTGTGTGTGTGTGTGTGTATATATATATATATATATATATATATATATCTTAATCCCACATGTAGATCTTTAATTGGTTATATAAACCTTGTTTGACTGTTTGACCTCTGAATAAAAGATTTGAGATTGCTTCCAAAATGTCTATTTACATTCCAAGCTTGGTTATTTTTCTCTTTAGAGAGCATGGAGCAGTGAGAATAATACACAGCCACTTGCATACAAATCCAATTTTATATTTTGGTGACTGAGTTTTATGGTCCATGTCTTGCATTTGAAACAGACTGCATCGTGCACAGGGCTCATGAGAACAGGAAGACAAATACACGTAATTAAAATGGTCATAAAAGCAATAGGAAGCTTTATTAATATGAAGTGGGGCATAGAAGTATAATGGTGTGTTTGTAGCCGGCTGATGTCGTGTTATTTTTGTGTGTTTTACAAACACATCCACTGACTCGCAGTGACCCAGTAATGAGTAATAAACCACATGTTTTATGGTGCTGCAGTTTGCTGCCCTCCAAATGCCCAGAAAGAGATGCTGGTGATGGTAAAGAGGGAATGCTCATGTGGAAATTATTATAATTCACGGCAGTTATGATAAACTACTAAATGTTGTTGTGAAAAAAAAAGTGCGTCACTGTTTCATGTCTTCCGATCACAGACTTCACTTCAGTGTATTCAGGAAATGACGAGTCAATTGTCTTGGTAAAATGAATGAACACAGAGGTCATTTCAGCAGCTAATTATGGATTCTGTGATGATGACTTATTACCTTTTCCATTTTGAACTGTTCATATTCATACCATTTCACTTGTCGATGCTTGTTGTCTACTACATGGACAAATCTTTATAAGACATTTTAGCCATTCAGGTTGTGATGTTACATCCAAACCACCATGGATGATGACCTTTGACCCTATAATTCTATATGACTGTTTTCTTTATATTAAAGCATAAATTCAAACTGATAAATGTGACCCTGGAGCACAAAACCAATCTTAAGTCGCTGGGGTATGTTTGTAGCAATAGCCAACAATACATTGTATGGGTGAAAATTATTGATTTTTCTTTTATGTCAAAAATCATTAAGACATTAAGTAAAGATCATGTTCCATGAAGATATTTAGTAAATTTACTACTGTAAATATATCAAAACTTAATTTTTGATTAGTAATATGCATTGCTAAGAACTTCATTTGGACAACTTTAAAGGCGATTTTCTCAATATTTAGATTTTTTTTTTTTTGCACCCTCAGATTCCAGATTTTTAAATAGGCTAGTTGTTTCTCGGCCAAATATTGTCCTGTCATAGCAAACCATACATCAATGGAAAGCTTATTTATTCAGCTTTCAGATGACGTATAAATCTCAATTTCGAAAAATTGACCCTTATGACTGGTTTTGTGGTCCAGGGTCACAAATGTCTTTACCATGTACAAATGTGTACCCCAACATGCTCCAGTGCTGAACAAGAACAGGAACCAGAAACAAGAAAAAAACACACACACGATAAGTGCGCAAAATCCTCTATAATTCCCCACAGTTTTCAAAAATGCTCTGTGTGAGCATATCTTGTTTTCTTTATTCTAGTAATGGCACACAATCCTAGTCTCACATGTCCCTCATGCTTTGATTTTGCGAAACAAAATTTAGCAAATTTTTGATTAATTAATTTAAATTTTTTTTAAATATGAACCTGTGTAATTCAACTAGAAACACACATGCACATACAAAACCAAGTGAAGGAATGAAATAAATAGAGTAGCAGTTTTTTCTTTCTTTCTAAGTGTGCAGACATATGGAGTACCCTACCCTCAGCACAATGCAAAACAAAGACACAGCCTGTAAAAGCACACTGCTGTGCTACACTTATTATTGTTACAGTATGTAGTACAGTATATTATGCACAATCTCTGAATGTTCTGTATGCATGGAATATCTGGATGACAATGCGATGCGACGACTTGATGAATGAACCTAAAAGTAATGTCAGCAATTAGGTTGTTTACTCATTATTTGATTAGCCAAGTATAAATGCATTTTATTTATACATATACTACCAAAAATATAAGGTAGTAGTGTGTAGTGTAAGTATAAGCACACCTTCAGTAAGAAGAAGACGAACATAGCCTGTATAATGCTTCCCTCTGCTGGTAAATTACCAGTTTGCAGCAAAAAAAATTAATAAAATAAAGTGTAAGAAAAAAAAATGAGTTTATTCCTTCAGGGGGCGCTCGGCTGCTCTGAAAGCCAAATCTTCCATTGAGTCCCATTCAAATCTTAGGACGTTTGTTGTCTTGCTGTAAACATTTATGTTGTAAAAAAAAAAAAAAGTGTGATAGTTAAAATCAATTAATTCTAACATCTGATATTTTACATACAGTGGAAATCCACTGCAGCCGCAATGAATAAACGGATTTTTTTTTTTTTTTTTTTTTTACGATCATGCAGTAATCACAACGAACTGTGATTGGACAATTCTTATTCGCGTTGAGAAAAGTAACACAGCCCATGACAGCGCTTTGCTGAGTGTTTAGTGCGCTAGGACCATGCGAAGCATCACCAAACGCCCGTCTGTGGGGTGACGTCGGTCTGCCCCGGTGTTGTTGTGTAACGTTAAAGTCATGGATGGGGGAGTTGAACGGGTTGAGTTTATGACTGCAAGGACATACAGCAAACGCAGACGTTTAATTGATTTAGCAGCACTAACGTTCATCTGAGGGGATACTTATTCAAGCAAGACTAGAAGAATCTCAGTGGCATTTGAAGCAGGTTAGTTAGTTCATAATCTAATTGGCCTAACACAAGTTTATATGAGCGTGGTATCAGATCGTAATACTATTACTTTGATATACATGGTAATAAATTACACTTACAAAGAAGAACTGTCAGTTTCGACATGGTAGAGTAGCGTGGTAATACCATGTTATGCATGCAGTGTACCATGGCGGTGTATTAGTAAGTTGGTCGCTTATATATGAAGAGTTTATATATGCCGTTTTAAATGTACTTCTAAAATGAGCATTTTTATTTGGCTTCTATGTGTAGGTTCAGTCATTTCACTTTAATGGCACTGAATAAGTTCTTTTCATTGCCATTAAAGTGAACTGAAGTTCGAACCTACTCACAGGAGCCTGAGAAAAAGACACATTTTAGAAGAGAACTTCAGACGGCATTGTTTTTTTAATTGTTTTCCTCTTTTTCATTCGTTGAAAAATGATGTTTTTATTCATTTTAGGCTTTTTTATTTTTTTTTTAAGTACAGCAAATTAAACTAAATAAAATAGGGAAATGCTTGTTGCTATTTTTAATATTAAGTAATAGCCTAATTTTTTCTTTATGGTTTTAGTTTTAGTATAGTTTAACTCTGGTACAGACAGTACTTTCTACGTTTACTATGGTAATATACTGTTTTTGGGCATGTATCATACTAATACTTATTTCTTTGCACATGTACTATGAAAATACAACATTTTCCACTTGCACATGACATTACTGTGGTATTCTTTGTACCTTATAGTAAATACCTTGGAGTAAACATGAATATGGAATCCATACAGTACCATAGATGGGTTTTTTTTTTGGTTGTGGGAAATAAAAGTTGATCAGGTTTTCTCACCATATTGTTTTTTCCAGATATTCTTTGTGTGGGTCCATCATCATCATCATCATGGTGGAGATGAAGAGTTACTGTGAAGCGGGGGTCTCCATGCAGCAGGTCTGGGTGGAGGGTGGTCTGACTCTGTGCTTCTACTTCACCCTAGTGCCATCAGTCCTCCTCACCCTCTCCTTCCTCTTTGGCACGTTTCTGTGCATATGCTACAGCCGTTACGGCACAGCCATGGAGCCCAAGTTCATCCCTCGCTCTCGACTCTACCAGGTCCAGGTGGGCCTGTCGGTGCTGCTCGTCCTGCAGGCTCTGGGCTGGATGGTGTTTCGAATCGCTCGCAGCGGAGAGCTGCCGGGATACGTGGTTGTGTACGGCTGTCTCTCCATGCTGGGCTGGATTTGGGCCGTGGCCCTGCTGCGTCTGGAGAGGAGGAGGGTTCTGGTGCGGGACAGAACCAGAGGTCACAGTACGGTACTGTTGCTGTACTGGGCCGTAGCGTTTGCCGCTGAAAACCTGGCGTTTGTGTCGTGGATGAGCCCTCAGTGGTGGTGGACTCTGGAAACGTCCGATCAACAGGTAAGTGTGTGTGTGATTGTTTATGTTAATGAAAATTTGCATATGGTAATATGTCGCATTAATATAAGTATATGGGATTTTTTGCCTGTTTATCATCGACCAAGTAATGGAAAGTAATTGCTTACCTCTCTTTAACATCATTTATATTGAATTATGTTAAGTTATGCACCAGATTGTAGTACTTTGGGTATTTTTTAGTGTGTTTTTTTTTAAGTGCCCCTATAATGGGTAATGAAAGGTTCATATTTTGGTTTTGGGAGTCCCCAACAACAGGTTGACATGCATGCAAGGTCAAAAAACGCTTTCATTGTCTTATAATATGCATTTATTTTTACCTTACTTGCTCAACGACTCCCAAAAGATTCGCTCAACGATTAATTTTTCCAAACCCCTCCTTTGTGTGACGCTAATCTTCGGTGATTGGTCCGATTGGTCTCATTTTCATTTCATCATGCCTGTAATCCCTGATAAAGCAGCGTTTGTGAACGCAGTGCTGTTTTGTTTACAGCCGTTACCGGGGAAACTGCTATTTTGCTGCACCTAGTGGCAAAGAATGAATTAGCATTTTCATTCAGACCAATGCAAAAAGACCAACAAGTGGGCGGGCAATATGCTAATGTTTCATGTTGACGTCAACATGAAACGGCTTGGGATTCGTTTTAAAAACGACTCGTTTCAATGATTCAGAGCCGATTCTTTCTTTTGAGAGACAATAACTTTATACACGGTGCACTTTCAGATTTAAAACTTTGCAGGATGTTTTCATTCACTTGCTGTGTTACACAATGCATGAAAGGTAATTTTCAAAAATCCATAATAGGGGCACTGTAATGTATTGTAGACTATATTGTATTATCATCTATTTCTGTAGCATAACCTTTGGCACTGATGCCATTGTTCTGTCTTAAGTGGAAGTGTTTGAAAGTGGTGATCGATGTAGGAATCCTGCTCACACACCATGACTCAGCATTATGGTAATGGCGTGAAATGATTATTTACTTACAATAAAGTTTCAGGATCCAGCAGATGAGGTATAATGACTCAGCAATTCCGTCAAGTTTGATGGTCATTGAAAAATAATATTGTTGAGTTGTTATGTGTCTTTAAATAGTAGACAGTGACATGTGGAAATATTGTTGAGTCATGGTCAGTTCTAGCTGCATTCCTTCCCGCTTGCATTAGCCACACCCCAACTGTTCAAGATTGACCAATCAGATAACAGATTTTGTGACACTTCATGACGTGGAAGTTTCACTCTGCTCATTCTAGTCTTGCTGTAAACATTGAATGTTGAATGCATGTTGTTAAAAATGGCAATAGATTGGCCAGATTTTCCTAAAAAAAAGCATTTACAAAAATAGTCCAGTTTTCAAATAAAAAACCTTTGCAAATGTACGTATATAATAAAATAAAATAAAAATAATTGAGCTTTATTTTTTTTCAGCACAGTTAATTTGTACAACTGTGTATACAGCTTATTATTATAACATTTACCATCGTAATTATCTCAGGACAATCAAATAGCTGTGTGTGTGTGATATAATTAAATATTATATTATTAATTATTTTTAATTAACCTTTAACACATTATCAATAATTATAAATTTTTTAAAATTATAATTATACATTTTGTATATATATATATATATACAGTCAAACCAAAAATTATTCAGACACCAGGTATAATTTGATATTTTTTTACTAGTAGGTGCAGGACACTATAGTTCATTTATGTAAGTGAGGATAGCTAAATAAAGTGAACTGTGACATACCCAAAAATTCTTCGTACAGTGGACTACCAGTAAAATTGATAAAAATTTGGAAACAAAAATTATTCTGACACTTTGACCTGACCATGTTTTGCTTAAGTGTTTTTTCTTTTATTGCTAATGCGACCTTTTTACACCACAGGCTGAACAAAATTAAGCATTGCTTGGTAATTGGTTTACCTAAATTAGTATTATTATCTAATTGTGTACTTAAATCTAACAGCTGAATAATTTTTGGTTGATTGTAATCCATTACATACCTTTCTATGAAAGTTATCTGACATTATCGAGATTAATTTGTCCTGACACAGTTTAACTCTGAGTTCTTGTCATGTTCTATTACCATTTTCTGAACTATAGCAAAAAAAACTGTGATAATGTGAGAAATTAGAATTGGATGATCAGGGTAAATTGTACTTATTTTGTCTTCTGGGAAACATGTAAGGATTTATGTAGCTTCTGAAGTCCAGTACTAAATGAAAAATATGATCGTTAAACAAAATGAGAAGAATTTACACATCATCATCATGTTCAGAAGTTTCCATCCCCCGGCTCTTAATGCATTGTGTTGAGCATCTTGAGCATCAGTAAATGTTTTCACCTTTTGTAGTAGTTATGCATGAGTCCCTCAGTTGTCAACAGTGTTAAAAGATGGATTGCCAACAAAGGGTATATAACAAAGTATTGAGATGAAATTTTGTTATTGACCAAATACTTATTTTCCACCATAATTTGCAAATAAATTCTTTAAAAATCCTACAATGTGATTTTCTGGATTTTTTTTCTTCTCATTTTGTCTCTCGTAGTTGAGGTATACCTATGATGAAAATTACAGGCCTCTCTCATCTTTTTAAGTGGGAGAACTTGCACAATTGGTGGCTGACTAAATACTTTTTTCCCCCACTGTATATATAATATTTTTTTTTTTTCATGCTAACACATTGATTTCCTTCTGTCACAGTGAACCAGCTGACAGATGGGAGCTCCTGGAAGACTCTGGCGACTACAGTTTGTATTTATGGGCTTCTGAAGTTCCTGCAGGGAGGTGGAGCTGGTGAGGGAACATCTCGCAATTGAATCTCTATGTAGTGTAACGTGAAATATCCTTTAGAATCTGACAACAATCTGATCTCCATTTGTTTCCATCTGCAGGAGCGTCTGGGTTTGTAAGTAACATGCGTTCGTTCCTGTGGATTCGAGTGCAGCAGTACACTAACCGCGTGGTCCAGGTGCGTCTCTTCGCTCATCTGCACTCTCTGTCTCTGCGCTGGCACCTGGGCCGCCGCACAGGGGATGTCCTGAGAAGCATCGACAGAGGAACTTCATCCATCAACAGCCTGCTGAGGTCAGAGCTAAAAAATGTTTTAAAATTAGCATTAGCTAGGTGGCGATACCAAAGACCTTCTTATCTCAAGCACTGGAATGCAAGTATAAACAAGGTCTAGTAGGTTGGTGTGCAATATTAATCTTGAATGCATTAGCATTTTAAGTACAGATAGTATGCTTGTGCAGTAAAAGTGATCTCAGTTTGTATTATCTTGAAATGCATACATATTATTTTTTGTTTAATCCGACAGCTACATCGTGTTCAGCATCTTCCCCACTATCGCTGACATTGTCATCGCCATTGTCTATTTCATATCCAATTTCAATGCCTGGTTTGGCCTCATAGTCTTCGTTTGCATGGCCCTCTACCTCAGTAAGTATCTAACAATTGTCATTTCGAAATGTGAATACATGAACACACACATTGCTGAAGATACTGTAGTTGCTTCTTTTCTGGTTTCTTTTGTTTGTTTGTGTTTTCTGGTTAAAGGGATAGTTCACCCAAAAATGAAAATTTGATGTTTATCTTCTTACCCCCAGGGCATCCAAGATGTAGGTGACTTTGTTTCTTCAGTAGAACACAAACTGAGATTTTTAACTCAAACCGTTGCAGTCTGTCAGTCATATAATGGAGGTGAATGGGAATCATGGCTTTGAGAGTCAAAAAACATACACAAACAAAACCAAATTAAACCCTGCGGCTCGTGACGATACATTGATGTGTAAAGACACGAAACGATTGGTCTGTGCAAGAAACTGAACAGTATTTAAATCGTTTTTCTGATTCACCACAATGTCCGAACTGTCCTGAGCACGTTCTCAACAGCCGGTGTGAGGCGTCTTCTTCTTCTTGCTTTACGGCGGATCGCAGACTTATAAGTGCATTACCGCCACCTATCTCTCAAATGGACCATTGACACTCTATCTAAAATCTCAATGGTCCACCTATATCTTGGATGCCCTGGGGGTTAGCAGATAAACATCAAATTTTCATTTTTGGGCGAACTATCCCTTTAAGTAAATTATAACTCTTAAGTAATGGAATAACTATGTATATTGACTTATTGTCTTGTAACCAATGTCTTATTTGCACTTAAAGGGCAAATAAAACGTGAATATCTTGTCTAGCTGGTTTGGGTGTGTAATTGGAGGTTGGGATAATGGCTAGGTTGTTTATTAGCATATTGTGCAGAACATATACTGCCTTCTGCAAGTGTAGCTGCTGAAACAGAATGCAGTATTCAAATATTTATGCTATATTTTTTTGTCACACCATTGCATAATGTTTGTTAAATAAAAACGATTCAAAATCATTTTCAGTTATTGAAATGAAGCTAAAATGACATAATATAAATATTAGATGGAAAAATTTTAAAAACATAAATTAACAAATTAGAAATGTTGCCTTCACAACTAAAGTTAAAGTACAAAAATTACTAAAAGTAAAACTGAAATAAAAATAAAGCTAAATAGATGTGGGGGGAAATTATATAAAATGACAAATGCATATAACAAAATACTAAAACATTAACTAAAATTATAAAGAAAACTGAAAATATGAATTCAGTATAAATTCAAGCTAATATTTAAAAAAAATACTTCAGTATATAAATAATACCAAAATAGCACTGTCAGCAAACTTCATTATGAAGCTTGCATAATTGGTGTCACTCTATGGTTTTATAAATAAAAATTATTATTTTAAAATAGAACTTGATATTACTTGACAGGTAATTCCCAAAATGTGAACAGTATACTGCATGCTGCACAAATAGTGTGTACAGTAGTTCTGAACATACCTAAACTCGGTGCAGTATTGTTTATGATTCTTTCACCTCAAGAGTCACTAAAGATAGAAAAATGGAAATATACTAGATCAGCATTTGGTTTATTGATTGATTGCTGTTATCTGTGTCTCTGTCAGCTCTCACTATTGTTATCACTGAATGGAGAACCAAATACAGACGAGATATGAACACACAAGATAACAATGCCAAATCGAAAGCTGTGGACTCTTTATTGAACTTTGAGACGGTATGGCTTCGATTTGTTTGACAAAGGCGTCAGAATGTGTGTTACAAGAAATATTAAACTTGTGCTATGCATATGCTGTGATTAAATTATGATATTGTCAACAGGTGAAATATTACAATGCAGAGAGTTATGAAGTGGGTCACTTTGAGAATGCCATCCTGAAATATCAGGTAACATTTGTTAGGAGTATTTTTAGACTGCTCTCCACACAACATTTGTTGTATTTCATCGTTATTTTATATGTAATTCATCTGAAAGGAATTTAATGTTGAAGAGCTCACAGTAGTATAAATAAATGCCACTTTTTCTTTTGTTCAGGTATCGGAGTGGAAGACCAACGCATCTCTGGCACTCTTAAATCAAACGCAGAACCTCATCATCGGCTTGGGTCTTCTGACCGGATCTCTGCTCTGTGCGTACTTCGTGACAGAGGGAAAGTTTCAGGTACCATCAAATAATCTATGGTTTATAGCAGGACTTTTTTTTTTAATAAATAGAAAGAAGGAACATAAATGTATATGTAATTAGTTTTTTTGAATATTCAGCAAAGATGCATTAAATTCATCGTAAGTTACAGTAAAAAATGTTTAAATCAAATAAATGCTGTTTTGCATTACAGGAAAAAATTCTAAAATTTTAAATATGTATTTAAATAGAAAAAAAGTTATTACACAACGTTACTGTTTTACTGTATTTCTAATCAAATAAATGCAGCCTTGTTGAGTATAAGAGACACGTTTCAACAACAACAAAAAATCTTACTGACTCCAAATGTTTGAACAGTAGTGTATATGTATACTAGGGCTGTCAAAATGACTGAAAAACGAAATTCTAATTTTCTACTTAAATATGATCAAAAATCGAATTATATTCGAATTTAAAAGGCATAATTTCAGTTAGGGGAAAAAAAGCTTTTGGCTTCTCTCCTGAGGCCACAAGAGGGTGCATTGAGCAAAATATTTCGCACGTTTCTTCAAAGCGTAATAAAATAACATGACTATCTTTGAAAAAAAAGTGCATAATGTTTCAAATAATGTTTATAAACCATATATAATTAATAAAGTTGCTTAAACAATTAGAGAGAAAAAACAGCACCATGCATGTATGTATAGTTTAATACAAAGGACTGAAAACCAGTCACAAAGAGTAGGCTACTTTCTTTATTTAAAAACATAAGATGCAGTGGGATGGGGAAAAACCGCCATAAAGTCTTGAGACATGTTTTTTAAAAGTTGAACTTACATTAATTTTACATGGCTTTCTAAACATGCCGCTCTTGTGCGAGATGCGAGTGCAACGCTGATAGATGTCCCTCTTGAATATGAGATAAATATGCGTTCTGTGTGAATGGCTTGGTTTCAGTTTTGACGTAAACAACATCTTCTCCACACTGATGCTCTCGTTTTCCGCAATATATTGAATGAACAACGTATCAGCGCCGCATCTAGTGAGTTCAACTGGATAGGCTAACAAAAGCAATGACACTTACATCGTCGTCGCATTCCGTGCGCCACTGAAAGGCTGCCTGACGGCTGACGCAGACCTAAAATTCGAATGCAATGTTTTGACAGCCGTAATGTATACAGTGGACAGTTCTTCTGAGTTTACACTTTCAAAGTAATTGTAAAACAGCCAATAAATGCACACCTGTAACAGCACATCAGTTAAATTAAATGTTGCTTCTTTCTAAAGTTTCAGTGTTGCTTCATAAACAGCACTTTTTTGTCTAATGCACTACATTACTTTCTATTTATGAGATTGTGATTGAAATGCCATTGTCATATTTCCACTCCAGACTGAGGTTTTACTATTGTTACTATGTCAGAGTTGACGGTCACAGTTCACTGTCTCTGAAGCGTATTTTATTGGATTGTGGTGGTTAATTGAATTCAGCTGGCACAAAGTGACAAGGCGGTACATAACAATCTAACCAATACAGAATTTAATTTTTAAAAATCATATAATTTTAATATCTTTTAAAGTGAAATGTAATAAAACAAGAAGAAGAAAAAAATTAAATATATTGTTTCAATGAGCAGTGAACAAGCAGAGATTTTTGTTTTGAGTTTGTTTGTTTGTCATGTGACATGAACTTCCAGGTAGGAGATTATGTGCTGTTTGGGACGTACATCATCCAGCTCTACACTCCTCTCAACTGGTTTGGAACATACTACAGGCATGAAGATTTGGTCATCTGTGTATAGATAACTATATATTTTTTTAAAAGAACAAACAGTAAACGTGTATCTTTCCTCTAACAGAATGATCCAGAATTCCTTTATTGATATGGAAAGCATGTTCAAGCTCTTCACTGAGGAAGAGGAGGTGAGTGAGGTTTTTCATTGAAGTTTATTTCGCGGAAGCTTGGGGATAATTAAAGACATGATGATTTGATTTAGGTGAAGGATGATGTCAACGCAGGAAACCTCGACTACAGACAGGGACACATAGAGTTTGAGAATGTCTTCTTCAGCTACATGCAAGGGTGAGCAGCTTCAGTCATATATTCGTTTCTACTGTTTTTTATTTTGTGATTATTATTAGAGTAATTTGTGTCACAAATAAGCAATATTCAGAATTGGATATTTTTGCAGCAAGGAGATTCTAAAAGACGTCTCTTTTACCGTTCTCCCTGGACAAACAGTTGCACTTGTAAGTCTATTCTATTCCATTCTGTTCTGTTCTGTTCTATCCTATCCTATTCTATTCTCTGCTGCTCAAGAAACATTTCTTATTATCAATGTTGAAAACAGTTGTGCTGCTTAATATTTTTGTGCAAATCATGATATACTACCATTCAAGAGTTTGGGTTCAAAAAAATTTTAAAAACAAAACGATATTAATAGTTTTATTCAGTAAAGAGGCATTAAATTGAATTAAAGTGACAGTAAAGAGATTTATAATGTCACAGAAGATTTTTTTATTTCAAATAAATGCTTTTTTATATATAAATTTCTATTCATCGAAGAATCCTAAAAAAAATTATTGCAGTTTCCACAAAGAACAAAACAAACAAAAAACACTGATAATAATAAGAACCATTATTAATAACTGAGCACCAAATCAGCGTATAAGTCGTATTTAAAAATCGTAAATATTCCAAACGTTTGACCACTAGTGTATGTGTAATCACTTTCTTTGGTTTATTTCAGGTCGGACAGTCTGGATCAGGAAAGAGCACCATCATCCGTCTGCTTTTCCGTTTTTATAACGTTCAGGGCGGGTGTGTAAAAATAGATGGCCAAGATATCTCAAAGGTGAACCTGCCATCGATACAATAACAAAGGCACCCAAACATTACCTTTAACTTCCTGTCATAGCAATTTAAATTGCACTAAATGTGGCATGTCTGGTTGTGTCTCAGGTGAAGCAGGCCTCTCTGCGTGCTCACATTGGCGTCGTACCTCAAGATACCGTCCTGTTTAATGACAGCATTCGACATAACATCCGCTACGGTCGAGTTACTGCTTCTGACCAGGAGGTGGAGGAGGCTGCCATCGCTGCTGACATCCATGACAAAATCATAACCTTCCCCGAGGGTGAGAACCATGTAGACAAAATCTACAACTTTACAGCATTGAATCATATGTGACCCTGGACCACAAAACCAGTAATAAGGGTCAATTTCTCGAAATTGATGTATGGTTTGTTAGGATAGGACAATATTTGGCCGAGATACAACTATTTGAAAATCTGGAATCTGAGGGTGCAAAAAAATCTAAATACTGAGAAAATCGCCTTTAAAGGGATAGTTCACCCAAAAATGAAAATTTGATGTTTATCTGCTTACTGCCAGGGCATCCAAGATGTAGGTGACTTTGTTTCTTCAGGAGAAAACAAACGAAGATTTTGAACTCAAACCGTTGCAGTCTGTCAGTCATATAATGGAGGTGAATGGGAATCACGGCTTTGGGAGTCAATAAAACATACACAAACAAAACCGAATGAAACCCTGCGGCTCGTGACGATACATTGATGTGTAAAGACACAAAACGATTGGTCTGTGCAAGAAACTGAACAGTATTTATATCGTTTTTTACCTCTGATTTTCAACGCGTTCTCAACAGCCTGCGTGATGCGTCTTCTTCTTGCTTTACGGCAGATCGCAGACTTATAAGTGCATTACCGCCACCTATCTCTCAAATGGACCATTGACACTCTATGTAAAATCTCAATTAGGAGTGTCAATGGTCCACCTACATCTTGGATGCCCTGGGGGTAAGCAGATAAACATCAAATTTTCATTTTTGGGTGAACTATCCCTTTAAAGTTGTCCAAATGAAGTTCTTTGCGATGCATATTACTAATAAAAAATTAAGTTTTGATATATTTATGGTAGGACGTTTTCAAAATATCTTCATGGAACATGATCTTTACTTAATATCCTAATGATTTTTGGCATTAAAAAAAAATCAATAATTTTGACCCATACAATGTTTTTTTGGCTTTTGCTAAAAATATACCCCAGCGACTTAAGACTGGTTTTGTGGTCCAGTGTCACATATTTAAACTGTAGTCAATTAATAAATAAAATGTGACATTTATAAAATGTGCTTATATAAAGAGTTTAACATTGTTTAACTTGATTTACTAAAATAACTAAAACTAAAACTGAAGTAAAAAATCATAAAAAAAGACAAACTAATAAAATGGCAAAAACGCATCTAAAACTTAAATGGATATAAAATTTAAATGGATACTATAATGGTATCTCAGTGATACTAAAATAACACTAGTATGCCATCCATTTTGAGTCTAGATAATATAGCTGATATTCATAATTGATATTTATTTGTAGGCTATGAGACTCAGGTGGGTGAGAGGGGACTAAAGTTGAGCGGAGGAGAGAAGCAGAGAGTCGCCATCGCTCGCACCATCCTCAAAGCGCCACAGATCATCCTCCTCGACGAGGTACGACAGCACCAGTGCATTATGGGAGAATGCGTACGCAATGTGGGAATTATCCCAGTTTTGCCTTTTGTTTTTATGATTTCTTTTTGAGAAGCTTTTTTGCATTACTGTTCAAGAGTTTGGAGTCTGTTAGATTTTTAAAGAAAATGTAAGAAATTTATATTTTGATAAAAATGTCAGTATGTTAATGCATTTACAATATTACTTTTATTAAAGTTATATTAAATTGTAATAATATTTCACAATGTTACTCTTTTTATTTTTGTTCAATTAATTGTAGCTTTGATGAGCATAAGAGACTTCTTTCCAAACATTAAAAAAAAAATCTTACTGACCCCAAACTTTTAGTTTGATTTGTGATGACGGATTTTGGACCAATGAAATTTCAGTGGACGGAGCTTCTCAGCTATACTGGACAGACATAGAAAACAAGCAAGCAATCGTCTTCTTGTGATTAGAACAAAAACTGTAAAATAGATTTGTTTGTATAAAACACAACATTTCTGATTCACAAGTACTTTTCTCTTGATAGACTAATTTACTCATCTTCTACTCTACCCATAGGCCACATCTGCTCTAGACACACAGACCGAGCGAAATATTCAGGCCTCACTAGCTAAAGTCTGTGCCAACAGAACCACCATTGTGGTGGCACACAGGTAAACACCTCATTAAATCAATTAAAAGATGTTTTTACTCAAATCATCTTCCATCAATTGCTATAGTGATAACTAGTCATGAAACTAGATTACAGAATTTCTAATTGTATATAACACCATCACTGATTTGCATATTGTAGATTGTCGACTGTGATTGGAGCCGATGTGATTCTTGTACTTCGTGATGGACAGATTGTGGAGAGAGGAAGGTGGGTTTGTTTTCTGGTATACTGAACACACATTTAGACCATAAAGGCACAATATGTAAGATTTTTTTATTAAAATATCCAAAAACCACTAGAACAGTGTTCTATATTTTGCTGACTTGTGTACTTGCATTATCCCAAATGTTTCGAAGAATGTTTAAATCCAGAGAAATAAGCAATTTTAACTAGTGACACGGGGCGTGTCTATAGTGTCATTGTGTCGCCTGCCAATGACGTCATAACCCCTCGATCTCCGGTTTTGTTTTGTAGAAAACTCGGAAACACCAAAGACGCGTTAATATGTTGTGCGTTTTAATAGACTGGTGACGACCGCCCAGAGTAGCATTATAACAGAACGTTCAAATGTATCTAGTATGATAAAACCGCGCTGCTTTACCCCACATACACACGACCGGAAGCGCTCGACTGTGGCATAATAAAAGCTCCGCTTCTTTCGTGTCGCTTCGACAGCTTTCAGCCTCACCCTGCTTCATTCTACTACGTTAACAAATCATTAGCTCATCCATGAACATGATTTCTGCCCGAGTCCCGTCGGATTGCATCGGCTGTGGAGATGAAGACGACAACTCCCATGATTCCACACTCAGTCACGGCGTCATCAAACTACGCCTTTGTCTATTTGTTTATTTTGAATACGCGCCCTCTAACGGGCGAAAATGACATATTGTGCCTTTAATACTATGTGGTTTAAAGTCCGGTATTGTTGTTTGTTGTAGGCATGAGGAGCTGTTGGCGAAGGGAGGCCTGTACTCTGACATGTGGCTAAAACAGCAGCAGGCGCAGGATTCAGACTCGGCCTCTGACACCGAGACCAAAGACAGGAAATCTGAGAAACTACAGCCACAAACATCCACTGCAGGACATAAGGGACATTAGGCACACGAGACATGCAATCAGATCTGGTTTTGTGTGCATTTTAAGCTCGTCCAATGCTGTTTTGCCATATTAGAATGATAATTATTTAGTATCATATTTTGTTTTCGCCAGTTCTTAAAAGTGATCCATGTTGCCTAAGGATTTATTTATTTATGAGATATTTAAGTCCTTTTTTATATTGCTTTTGCAATTACTTTTCACTCATTGCATTTATAATGCTTATTAATATGAGTGAAGACTGACCGAGTATTAAATAATGCTCTGACAATTATGCCTCCTTCCACTACTATAACTTAATTATGTTGAATGTACAGTGGGGGATATTTTATTTTAATCAGTCAGTGGATTTCTCTGGTTGCATTGATTTTCTTTGTAATAGCGAACATTCGGCAACTGATTGTAATTGTGTATATGATCTACATCAGAACAAATTGTAATTTTATTTGAAATGAATAATTATATTTCTGGTGCCATTGTATAGCAGTAAATACCAATATATGACTTTCTATACAGACTAAGATTAAGTTTAAATTTAGGACTAGGTTATAGGCCGGGAGGGGGGGGGGGCATCATTTCCTCAATCAATTTGCATGTTAATTTCTGATATGTGCACACTTTTTTAGGTTATGATCATTTGTGTGCTTAAAGATCATTTTGTCGTGCTGTATGTGTGGAGTGAGATTTATTGCTTAGATGCAATACTGCACAACTTCAGTTCAATTTAAGGGACATTGGAGCTTGCTCGGTTTGTAGGACTGACACTAAACTCAGGGGACAAGGTTGAAATGAGCCATTGGGGTGTTTTTGCTGTACTATGTAGATTTCCACACGAAGCTTTGTGGTCGTTTTTTAATGATTATTCAAAGAACGGGTGGAGAAATAGCCACTGACAGAATTTGACAGTCGTAACAGGATGGATAAAGTCTGTGAAGATTTTTTTGTATGTATTTTATTGTGCAATAAAGGCAACTGAGGGAATATGTTCTTTTATTGATCACATTGTTCTTTGCGTAAAATATTGTATGTTCATTAAAATGCCATATGTATTTCCTTTATATTTTGTTTAGAAATAAAAATACATGAAATAATAAAAAACAATATTTTGGTTATTACTGTTGTATTGTTCCTTAGAACGTTCAGCAACTTGCACTGAAAGAGACTTTCCTTTTTCTTTTCTTTTGTACACTAGGGGGCGCTTTACGGCCAAAAACAGGAAAACTATTGAGTCATTCAAATCTGTGCTTTTGTGTGTTATTGGAGATATTTTTTACACACCTGTCATGTAATCGTTTAAATCTGCTGCTCTATTACTGCCAAGTACTTGGCATATAAATAAAAATCTTGCTTGCGCAGTTTCAAATAAATTTATTTTAAAAACGTCATAGTGAGTAATCATAAACTACTGTGATTGGTCCATCAAAAATAGCGATGAGAAAAGTAACATGTACAGCGTTGTACCGTTGGTCCGTGATATTAGGAAACTTTAATTTTAAATTTTAATTATTTGCCATTATTAACCTTGGGATAGAAATACACAGCGATTAGGTAAGACATAAAACTATTTAGATATTTAACAAAAAAAAATTAAATTACACCAAAAAAATGTTTGACCCCAGGTCGGTCCAGCAGTCCCGCCCTGCGCAACTGAGCGCGTTGTCTTGCGTAACTCTGATCGTGAATACGTCTCGACGCAGCTGTCACGGCAGAGAGAGAGAGGGCGCCTCCACGACGCCTTCCTTCGGCCTTTCTGTGTTTTCAGTCCTTCTAAATTAATGCTGGAGACCCAAAATGGATTTTGGCGATTTGTTTGACGAGCGAACGTTCACCTTTTCTGACTTCCAGGAGTTCACGGTCAGTATCTCCGGTGTTTTTGTTCTAGCTGCGCTGTTTTGGCATTAGTTTCTCACGCGAAACTAATGTAAAAACTTTAAATACGTTTTAATGTCTTCTTTCATTTAAAGCCCAGAATAATATATATATATATATATATATATATATATATATATAATTATTTGCATGTTAAGTATTATTTTGATAATTAAATAATCGTATTTTATTATGGCTTAATTATTTGTTCATGTATGTAACACTGGACCACAAAACCAGTCATAAGTAGGGCTGCACAATTAATCGAATTTCTAATTGCGATTACAATTATGGATGCCACAATTACATAATCGTTCAAAGTGGCAATTAATCGTTCAAAGTCCACTTATGTTATTCGGCATGCTTAAGATGCGTTTTTTTCTTTCTACATGCTATCTTAAGGGTTTTTCCCATTATTTTAGTTTTAGTATAACATTATAATACCATTCATATTTTTACTTTTTTATAATTTAAAGAAGAAACCAATCCGATGTATAATTGACATTTGAGGCTTAATACTATTGAAAAGCACAACGTTTTTCAGTTAGTGTTTTCAGCTTGTTTATTTTCATGTAAAAATACGGCATGCAGTTGCATCAAACAATGGTATAAACATAATTCAATGTAAATTGTGATAATCAACCTTAATAATAAATGCAATTACCTTTTCAAGGGAATAATCGACAATTATGATTTTTGTCATAATCGTGCAGCCCTAGTCGTCAGGGTCAATTTTTTTAAATTGAGATTTATACATCATCTGAAAGCTTTCCATTGAAGTATGGTTTGTTATGATAGGGCAATATTTGGCCGAGATATTTGGACAACTATTTGAAAATCTGGAATCTGAGGGTGAAAATTGCCTTTAAAGTTGTCCAAATGAAGTTCTTAGCAATGCATATTACTAATCAAAAATTAAGTTTTGATACATTTATGGTAGGACATTTACAAAATATCTTCATGGAACATGATCTTAATATCCTAATGATTTTTGGCATAAAAGGAAAAATCGATAATTTTGACCCATACAATGTATTGATGGCTATTGCTACAAATATACCCATGCTACTTATGACTGGTTTTGTGGTCCAGGGTGTCACATATTTACAATTATTAGAATTTATTTTAAAATCTAAAATTAAATACAGGGGAGATATATTGCTCATATTAATACTTTGTCATAGCATAAAAATATTTTGGGTCATGCAAAGTTTCTATATCAATGAATTTCCAGATAGGGCCATGTTTGGGTATATTTTTTTTCATCATACATATTCTATTCATATAATAGTTTATTTTAATTGTGTGTACAGTACTGCTTGATCACTCATCATTGTATTTCCTCTAGATATTGCTGTGGAACTGCTCCAGAAATCTGCCCCAAGTCCCATAAGGAAACTCCACAAGAAATACGCTGCACACGTAGCCAGGTAGGATCGCCTTAAATCTTTGATTTCGAAATATAATCTCATTAATAAATATCGTGTGTGATGCATTTTCACAGAATTAATATAAAATAGTTTTTTGTTACAGGGAAGCATGTATATCTCCCTGCGCTATGATGTTGGCCTTGATATACATTGAAAGACTGCGACACAGAAATCCCGAATACCTGCAACAGATCTCATCCTCGGACCTCTTTTTGATATCCATGGTATGTATGCACATCCAAGGATTTTTACTTACCTTTTATTACCCTTATTAGCTTCTCTGAATTTCTAATGTTATCTCCAGATGGTTGCCAGTAAGTATTTGTATGATGAAGGAGAAGAGGAGGAGGTTTTCAATGATGAATGGGGCACTGCGGCCAAGCTGGATGTTCAAACTGTCAACACTTTGGAGATGAACTTCCTCAATGCGATCGTAAGCATGACAACTATGGCCATTTACAGTAGTTTGACTTTTGTCCTTTTATACACACTTATTAAGGCTAATACTAGATCTGGTTGCATTTCTGGTTGTGAGATTTCTATAGAAATTGATTTGAAACACGCCCTTTCTCATTTACAGGACTGGAACCTCTTCACTGAGCCCAGTGACTTCTTTAAAGTCCTCAGTCAGGTGGAAAGCAGGTTGGTTAACGTGCACTACTGTGTCGTAACCGTACATCTCAAATTATACTGAGTCATATGGTTTAAGTGAACACTCCTACTGGCCTGTAAGGGGTCACAGCATAGGCTACATCTTTGTTCTTCTTTTCAAAAAATCAAGGACGATTTTTAATGTCATGACCTGTTTAAATAGCCTATGAGTATTTAAGTCTTTTGCAACTGGACAGTGACTCACTTGGACTTAATGCGGTTGCCCTTTGCAGTCTAATCTGTTTATCAGAGTGAGTTGGATTAGCAGTACATTTCTCTTAAGTTGTGTGTCATGTGACAAAGTTCAAGGTCCTCACACATGCTTTTGTTGTTTGGTTATGATGTTCCAGTGTAAAAAGATCAATATTTTTGTCCTTGTAGCATTGCGGAGCGACAAGGAATGAAGCGAGGCTGGTTCACCTACACGGATCTCTGTGTCCTGTTGGAGCAAACCAATTGGAGGGAAGCTCTATCAGCTATCTACCAGCACTTTACCAAGGTCAATAATCACAGTTGAATCCATATAAACTCCTAAATACACCTAAAAGTAGTCCATATGATGTACACTGTATTCCAAGTCAACAAACATTTGCTGTTCTTAAATATAATTTTATTCAAATATGGCAAGACAGACGCCTGTTTTGACATCTCACTGGACATTGTCACAAAAACAGTAAATCAAAAATTTGGAGGGAAAAAAAATGTAATGTATATAATATACACTTTCAAGATTTTAGTTATTGGTTATGTACCAATATAAAATAATAGTAATTATATTATATAGTCACATTGTCATAATGACAACATTTTTATTATTACTAAATTCAGTTATTAAAATAAATATTACTATTGTAATTTCACTAAAATAAAAAAAGTTCTTAAATTGTAAAAAAAAAAAATTATACAGTACAGCTGTAAATTTACAGTAGTAATGTTTATGGCTCTCATAATTTCTTCAATTTCAAACATCACGTCTTTTATTTTCAACTTAAACTTTATATAGCGCCATTGAAAATAAAAATGGTTGACTAATGTGGTTTCCAATAAGTCCAAAGATAGTCAATAAATAATGTCATATTCAGAATAACAGATTTCAGACCTAAAACAAGACCAACAACTATTCAGTAAATCTGCTATGAATAAAAGCCAGAGAGAATAGCTATGTCTTGAGCTTTACTTTATAAAATCATATAAAAAGTAATTTTGGAAGAAAACTGCAGGAAGCCCTTAAAGGTTCGAGCAAAGGGTCTGAATACTTAGGACCATGTGATATTTCAGTTTTTCTTTTTTAATAAATCTGCAAAAATGTCAACAATTCTGTGTTTTTCTGTCAATATGGGGTGCTGTGTGTACATTGAGGAAAAAAAATTAACTTAAATGATTTTAGCAAATGGCTGCAATATAACAAAGAGTGAAAAATTTAAGGGGGTCTGAATACTTTCCGTACCCACTGTACGTCCAGTTTATAAGCACTTCACAAGTTGAGAAGATAGTTGACGCATGTTGCATTTCCAAATGCATGTTATAAGCGACCTAAGTTGCTGTGAACAGAACTGCTTTGAGACACTGAGAACACAAATTATGAGCCGCTCGCATGTAAATGAACGTGCTTCAACAGAAACTCGCGGCTACTATTTATTTAACTGAATCAAACCATTTGCGATCTAATAATCACACTAAGCCATGTTGCGATCTTCAGTTTTATTTCAGTTAATCGTGCAGTGCTATCTCTAACCCTTTGCTGTGTTCTTTACCTTCCCTGCAGGTTACCTGTATATTTGGTCTCCTGTACTTGACTAGCGTAGCCGGTCTCATCGCTTCTTCCGCCGTCATCATCCACCAGCTCGGCCGTCTTCCCAATACCAGCCGCACTTACTTGGACCCGATGAAGCACACATCCATTCAGACACCAGCACTTCTCCCCGAGCTCTTGCCGGACACACCACGCCCAACCTCAAACCTCCACTGCTGCGTCCTGACCAATGACAGTTTGAAGCCGCGGCCCACCGCTGTGCCAGATCAGCCCGGTTCTACCTCTTCTTCCTATCAGAATATGGTGCCTTGTCTCTGGGGCTCCATCATCTCTGCTCTTTCCTACTCAAACCCCTCGTCAGACATCCAGCCACAAGACTGTTTGGTGTCTGAAGTGATCTGTTACAGTCACATGAGCGGTTTCCCTGAATGTGCAATAGCTCGCAATGGCTCGGCGCCTCTTTCCTCTCCGTGGTATGCTCGTCTCACAGCACTTTGGCTTGGGTTTGCTCCATTTAGTGAAAGCCTAATATTTTCAGACCCCCATCTTAGCTCCATGCCACCTTTTCAAAGATGTTGCCCAGAGACGACTTTGCCATTTGGGAAATCGCCATCTCTTCTCATGCCCGGCTAGATGAGTCTTAAAGTAAAATAAAACCAGCAAAGTTTACATGCGCAGTCAGCTCTCTCGGTTTTCTTTAATGTTGCATACGAACCAGCCAGATGGCTTGGTTATAACCGGGTTGTGGTGGGATATCAGTATGTTGGGGGAAGGTTGTAAAGAGGTTTTTTTTTACAGAAGTGGCATATGCTGATTGACAGTTAGAATTTTGATGTGTGATGCAGTGTGCGCTAATGCAGTATGAATGAACAGGCTTTCTTTTCTTTCGCTTTTCGGATGGGTTTGGTTGGTTTTAGATGTTCTGTGAAACCTCTAAAGCATCCAAGCAAAAAGAATGGCAAGTGGTTACGTAAGTTAACAAAAGGCTCTGCTGTTATGCGCGGAAGTGCGTGTTCTTGTTTTGAATAGTTCGCATGGTTTTGCGCAACATGCCAATGTCCTGAGGAGGACTGTTTTGTTTTAAAGTTCCTTCCTGTGAAAGCCTTTATTTTCAAGTTGGGAAATAGTTAGAATTTAAGCCTGGTTTTGTTCACTTTGGTTCAGAAAGGAAGGGTAGGAGAAAAACAGAAAGGGATCAGTTTTACAATGTCAGTTATACAATTTATTTAGGTTGTAATGGTCAGATAGTTGATGCCATGCCTCGTCCACAAAGTGTTCATCGTATATTGCTTTAGTTTGTAGTAACAATCCTCAATATTTTGATATCCTCAAGTAGTAAAATATTGCAGAGCAGGCTAATTGAATAGATTTGGGTTCATTACTTGACTTTGTTAATGAGTTTAATTTTGGCTTTATTTTATGTTCTTTAAACAATGTAATTAAGCAAATGGTATTAATATTATTAAGACTTGGACATAAAAGTACCCTTTAATACCTGATTTAAAGATCTCTTACATATCCACCATTATTTCTTAATGGCTTCCAAAGTCTGTTAACTATTTTTTGTACACTTTGTATAGAAATAATAAAAGAACATACAGCTGCAACAATGAAAAGAATAAAAACATTCATCTCAGTCTTGACTTTTGTATCTTTCTTAATATTGATGGTTTTTATAGTATGATGAAATATAAATATTTTAAGCATGCAGATTGTATATTGCCTTAAAGTTATTTTATTGTGACTGATATGTTGTTACAGTTTTGTTAATATTTCGAATTTAATTTTTTATTAATTTTAACTTCAGTAATTTTCACATTTTTCTATATATGTTTTCTTAATTTTTACTTTTAGTTATTTGGTTACACTTTATTTTAAGGTGTCCTTGTTACAGTGTAATTGTATATTTAAGTACTGAGTAGTATTAATTAACTACATGCACTTATTATATGGTTAGGGTTTTTCTTAGGGTTACTTGCATGCAATTATGCATAATTTATTGTTATCATAATAGTAGGTGTGTAACAAGGACACCTTTAAATAAAATGTTGCTATTATTTTAGCACTATAACCTAAACTGAATGAACGTCCTTGCTTTGGCTGCAATAAAATATATATACGTGTGTGTGTGTCTGTGTGTGTGTGCGTGTGTGTGTGTCTGTGTGTGTGTGTGCGTGTGTGTCTGTGTGTGTGTGCGTGTGTGTGTGTGTGTCTGTGTGTGTGTGTGTTCGTGTGTGTATCTGTGTGTGTGTCTGTGTGTGTGTGTCTGTGTGCGTGCGTGTGTCTGCGTGCGTGCGTGTGTCTGCGTGTGTGTGTGCGCGCGTGTGTGTGTGTGTGTGTCTGTCTGTGTGTGTCTGTGCGTGTGTCTGTGTGTGTGTCTGTGTGTGTGTGTGTGTGTGTGTCTGTGCGTGTGTCTTAGCACGTCAGCTGTCTTAACCGCAGCTTGTGTACTGCATCATCACTGTGTCTGTCACGCGACTCTGTTGCCCTTTCTGTTGACTGTCGTCACTCCTCCTTTTATCCTTCCGGAGCTCCTCTGTGGGAGGTTAGCATTTACTCCATAGACATATAAATACCTAGACGCCTCATTGGCCGCTGGATCGTACGTCAACGTTGCCGCCATCTTGGTGCGGGCATCTTTTCCATCATTCTCATAAGTGGACTCGAGAAAATGCCTTAGTCGTTAACTATTATAAAAATGTTATACTACTGTAAATATATTATTTACTGTTACATCTTACACATATATTTGCTGAACTGTTGTACCAAATCACATATGTATTTTCATAAAGCCATCAGTTATCTTTGTTATTGTCTGTTTTGGAGTATGTACCTGTAAATAATTGCATCAATTTAGTGCTATAAAAATATAGAAAGG